TTTCAAGCAAAACGTCCTCATCAAAAGCTTTATGGTTATATTCCCATTTTGATATTATTTAAATTCCTTTTCTCTTTTATCTGACTTTCGCTTATGATTTCGTATATATTGTATTTCCATTTCCATCTTACTCCATACTTATCATCAACACTCTAACCTCACCAGCCTTCTCGCAACAGATAGAACTCACTGTAAAAAAAAAGGCATGAATTGAGAATGAATATCTTCACAGCACGAGAGATATTCATTCTCATTCATATCCTTTTTTCTACATTTGTCAACACGAATACGGTTCATCAGATCTGGCTGTGCTTTGTACCCTTGCAGACCATGGGCACGCCGCAAACCCTGAGTATAGTGAGCGTTGTGCTGGCGGCGGTACTCGTGTCGGTGTCCGCCAAGCCCATTGTGGATCCCGGTAAGTGGCTTTCGCGGAGGGAACACTTCTGTCGCTGTTTATGTGTTTGTTCTGTTCTATTTTATGTCTTATTTTTGTTCTTTATTGTTTATGTCGTTGTTTTTTTACATTGTTTATATGTTTTGTTATTTTTATACGTTTGTTATTGTTTTGCTATTTTATACGTTTGTTATTGCTTTGTTATTTTATACGTTTATTATTGTTTATTTATTCTGAGATATTTTCTGCAAGGGTTAATGGTAGTGATGATATGATGATAAAGCAATAATCAAATTGATAGGAGGAGGAGGTTTATTAGAAAAATGACAATGCTAGGAGGAGGAATTTTATTTATCTCGAAATGCATTGCGTAAAAATAATAATACAAAGTCACTAACGTAAATTAAAGCATTGTGGACGGGCAACCTAACGCCTAAAATTAATAGATATATAACTAGATGGATCAATAAACAGATAACAATATATATATATATATATATATATATATATATATATATATATATGTATACAACCAATGGGCAGACGTATACAGACAGAGAAGTAAAAGAATACAAAAATTGTCCGCCGATTCTGTGACCTTGAAGATGTCACACGTGCCAGCCCTCACTCCTCTCTCCGTCGCCAGGCTTGTTCGTGATCCAGGGAGTGACCAGCTGCCTCAATGGCACGGGCTACTGCATGCTCGGAAACAACTGCTCCATCGACGTGGATTTCCTCCCTGCAGGCAGCGGTCATTGCAAGGGACTCAGGGATGCCTTCACGCCTAAAATTGACTTCATTTGTTGCAAGTAAGTCCTTCGCTCGGGTGGGCTGGCATTCGGCTCTGCCCCCTTCCTCCCTTCTCTCTCTCTCTCTCTCGTTCGTTCTTTAGACAGACAAAAAGATAAACAAATGACCCCCCCCCCTCTCTCACAAATGCGTATTCGTTCCTTGACATCTGCAGTGTTGCCAGGTCTCCTGGGTCCCCTCACCGCATCCCCACTTCCACTTTTTTTTCCTTGAATTTATTTCCCCGTCTCTTAGAAATCACCAGCAGCCCCCATTCCAGAACCCGAAGCCCCCAAGTCCCCAGCCCCCAGTCCCTATTCCCTAGCCCCCAGGCCCTCCGCAAAACACCGGAACGCAAAAGGAACTCACCGTGAATCCGTGAGTCACCGTGAGTCAGCTCGGATGTTCTTGGGCGCCCGACTCATCTGGTAACGGATCCCCAGGTCTCGCTCCTCGCTCACTTCCGCTTCTCAAGAGGGTCTCTCGCTCGTCTCACTCCGCGGTTCCTGCTGGGCGCTCCTTCCCTCGGGGCGGCAGAGCGGGTCTTCTCAAGAGGTGGTTCGTGGGGGTGGGTAGAGGGGTGGGTAGAGGGGTAGGGTGGGGTGTGCCCGCGGGTCGCTGTCGGGTTCTTGCATTTTTTGTTTTCCCTTTTTTCCGACTTTCGTGTTTTTCTGTTTTTTTCGCTGTGTACCTCCTTTTTTCTTTCTTTCTTTCCTTCTTTCTGGGTCTCTGGTTCTGCGGATTTCTCTCAGTCTATTTCTGTATTTTTTTTTTCTCTCTTTTTGTTTATATGGAGTCTTTTCTATTTGTTCTTTCTCTCGTTCGAATAGGGGAAGGAGGCGTGGGCACAATAGGAAAGAAGGGGGCAAGGGTGGGGGGAGGGTCGTTCCCAGAGGCCGCCGATTACCACTGCACGAGTCGTTCGGTCGTTAACCTGCGGTTTTGTTAATATAGAGAATTTGGTATCTTTGACATTCAGTACCGTGAGAAACAAGGGGAAAAAAATCTTGAAAAAATATGACACATTTGCAAAACTGACCATCATTTGGGATCAAATACCTGCAAGTCTATATTATATTTGCATTTTTCTATCGTGTGTCTCATTTCTTTCCTTTGTTCCGTGGCGAAGCAGTTTGAACCAAGCCTTTTACCGTATAAGAGCAGCCATGTCATCGTTTTTTCCTCTCTTTCTTTCCTTTTTTTACGACCTTTTTCCTCCCAAGATCGACACGAATTCCACTGTCATGGCTGGCTTTTTATGACATCCGTGGAGCTTTTTTTCGCACCTGCCTGATTTCTAATCGAATATCTTTACGGATACTTTTTTTTTATTTGGTGTTAATGAACTGGTCATTTACGAAGTTCTTCCCTTTGAATAGATGGAAACGAACAGAAATTATGAAGATATTTTTTGAAGAATAAAAACAAAATGTTCGTTTTCCTCGGGATTTCAGATTTAGAGATAACAAATAAAATGTTTTTTGATTAATTATCTATTATATTATTTTTTCATGCGTAAACTATGACTTGGATACTGTGATTAACCATCTTTGCTACCATTAGCTACAACACCTACAAGATTAACCTACGCATTCTTGGCTTGACTAATCTTGCACTGAATCCCCTAAAAGAAATTTTATCTTCTGATTCTCCACTCAACATTCGTAAAGAGAATCCAATCTCCTTCACATCCCCTCTCCCCCCTTCCCCTCCAGGTACAATCCTTTCGGGAAAGCCACCAGCGAGCCTCCCACCACCACCGTCTCCACCTACACCATCACGGACGTCTTCTCGCTCATCGACGAGGAGATAATGCACGGGCAGCAGCAGGTGGGTGGCGATGCTGTTTCAGGCCGGGTATGAGGGGGCCACATACCCCCCTCTCTCTCTCTCTCTCGCTTTTTTTCTTGATTTATTTCTATTTCCTGGTTTCTCTTTTTCTTGCTTTCTCTCTTTCTCGCTTTCTCTCTTTCTTGGTTTCTTTCTTTTTGGGAAGGAGAGAGAGAGAGAGAGAGAGAGGAGGGAGGGAGGGAGAAAGAGAGGTTAAGTGAGAGAGGGAGGGAAAGACAGAGATAAAGAATAATTCAGCATCGCCATTCACCCTCCCCCCTTCCCCCCACAGGAAGATTACTCCGACATCAACCCCGACAACGTGATTGACATCGTGGGCGTCGTGACGGACTTCACAGGCATCGTGGGTCTCGTCACACGCCCATGGACGGGGACATTCCCCACCAAGGCCACCTCGCCCACCACCACGCCCATGACGCCCTCCGACCCGCCCACGACGCCCGCCCCTGTGTCGCCCGCCACGCCCCTCTCCCCAGGCCAGACGGAGGCGACGGAGGAGGAGGCCGTCACGGAGGCCGTAAGGAACACCTTGCTTTCGTTCTTCGCTTTCGAAATGAAGGAATATTTTGAGTCTTTCTTTCTCTGTAATAAAAAGAATATTTTGATGGAGAAGTTTGTGCATTAGATGACATTCATTCTAGAAGATACTATGGTGGGAGTCGATTTACCTCCAGAAAGTATCAGGAAAGTTTTACTTTAAAGGAACAATTAGGCTGGATGGTCAGCATGCAGGAGATTCTAAGATCTGTAATCATTAGTTTCTGAAGGCGTTGGCGGTCGCCAGGCACTTTCACCGTCCTCTCCTTCCCTTCCTCCCACGCCAGACTCCAGAACCTACGGAGAGCTACAACGAGATTCCTGTTGGGATGACCGAAGGGGGCGACGCAGAGGTACAGCAGGAGACGACTCAGCAGGGAGACTCCACCACGCCTCCCTCGGATCTCACGCCCGCAGCAGGCGCAACCCCGCCCACTTCGATCGCCCCTGAGGTTGTGGGAGCCTCAGACGATTCTTCGGAATCTGACGAGGAAGTCGACATGAATGCCATTATCTTCCCAGACGACCCTATCCTCGCCGGACGACCCGAGACGGAAGCCCTGGAGGCGGTGACCGAGTCGCAGGTGGCAGACACTCACGACGAAGCTCACGTCGAAGGCGCCCTCATCCAGATTCTGGAATCCAGCGTCGTCGGCGAACACCCGAGCCAGGTTTCGCAGACGACTCAGGCATTTGCAGCGAGCGGCGTTTCCACGTCTCCTCCTGCTCTGGGGCCTCTCGGGGTTCAGCAGGTCGACATCACTGGCGAGATAGGCGAAGAAACGGACTATGACTACTACGCGAACTACCCCGACCAGATACTCCTTCAGCCCGTCAACCAGAATATCTGCGGCTTTAAAGGAGCCAAGCCTTATGTGAGTAAGATTGTCTTGCGCCCTTTGCTGGTCGATAACTTGCAGATTGACGTAATAGTTTAAATACTATGAAAAATACAAGATCCTACACTTATAGCCTTCGCCCGCGTGTCTGTATATATCACGCTGACACACCAAGTACCCAAGCGGGCCCTTGGTGTGTCAGTATCCATGCCGGGCGATCACCAGTGCAAACATCTCGCTGACAGGACGACCAGCTGAGCAGCAGGATCCTCGGCGGCGTCGTGGCGTCGACGGTGGAGTGGTGCTGGGTGGCGGCCATCATGGAGCGACGGCAGGGAGGCAACAAGTTCGTGTGCTCCGGCGCCCTCGTCGAGTCCAACCTCGTCCTCACCACCGCCACCTGCCTCAAAAGGTGCGGACTTTCCAGTAATATGTTTACGCTGTTAGATCATTTTGATTGTTTTTTTTCTATTGGTTTCTCCTTTCTTTTCAATTTTACGATTCTCTTTTGCAGGACGTTTATTTCTCCATGCTTTCCTTTCCCTTTTTCTATTTCTTTTATACGATTTCCCATTTCACCCCACCACAACCTTGCCTAACCTAGTCATGGTGCCTGAACCGATCAATCAGAAGCACAAACACCTTCACCGGTACTAACGCAGAACCGCCTGTGTTACAGACTGCAGAACCGCGACCTGTCTCGGTACATCGTGGTGTTCGGCGACAGCAACCTGCGCGAGGACCTGCCTTACGGGGTGCAGTTCCACTCCCTCGCTGAGGTGGTCGCCCACCCCGACTACTTTACCTCTGGGGGCGCGCACGCTAGTGACATAGGTGAGACCAAAATAAAGATACAACTATAGATACTGTACACACACATGTATGCATGAATATGAGCATATATATATGTGTGTGTGTGTGTGTGTGTGCATGTGTGTGTGTGTGTGTTTGTATGCGTGTGTGTGTGTGCGAGCGTGCATGATGCGTGCGTGCGTGCGTGTGCGAGTTTTTGCGTTAGTGAGCATAACCTCTAGCTGTACCTCCTCCCCCCCCGCAGGCGTGATAAGGCTCCGCGACCACGCGACGCTGAGCGACAACGTGTGCCTGGTGTGCATGGCCCAGCAGGACGCCATGTTCCCTGCGCAGACCTGCACCGTCACGGGCTACGGCGTCGGCGACATCCCACCGCCCATGCTCAAGGGTGAGGCTCGGAGGGCGTGCGTGATTGGCGCCGAGGTGTTCTTGGCCGAATGTCGATGTAGCATTTTCTCTAGATTTTATTGAGGTTATTTTTTATCTATCTGATCCTCTTGGGTGCCCAGTTCGCCACGGAGGAAAGTTGGGGTATGAATTTGTTGAAATATGAAATTAAAGCACTTGTGATCTTTTTTGGTGTGTTTGAGGAAAGTTGATGTGCCGTTTTGGTGTTTTTAGTTTCGGGGAAAAGGTAACAAGATTTCTAGAAGTGCTTTAAGTGCAATGCTTAGTCAAAGAGTAATGTTGATAATGATTGTCATTATTGTAAGAAGATTATACATAATATGCATCATATATTATACTTTACATATTAGTATCCTGTGTTACTTGTACTGATTATATTATTACCACTGCTTCGATTATTAATAACATTATACTAATATAAAACTATCAGCAAGTTATGAATATAGTCTTATGAACAATTAATACATGGCACCTAACTTCCAGGACACTCACAAGATAAAATCACCACGCTCTGTGTGTCATATTTACCATTAATATTCTTGATCCCATACGAATGCATTAATTGACGCGTACATAAACATCGGAAACACGAGAACGCCCGGATTTCGTTATCGATGAAGTCAGTAAAGAACAACAATAATAATAATAATCGCAACTACTAACAAATAACCAAAAAATAATAACATCATTCACATTCACCATGATTTTTTTTTCCTTCATGTTCAATTCCCCTTTCCAGACGTCCAGAACACGGTGCCGCTGGAGGGCATCCTGAGGCAGCTTTCGGTCCCCGTCCATAAGGAGGCCGACTGTCGAGACACTTTGCGCAATGTCACGCGTTCGGAGATCTTGGCCTCGTCCGATTCCTTCCTCTGCGCCGGCGGCACGGGCGACGGCAGTGCTTGCTACGTATGTACTTGTGTTGTATGAGTTGTTCGTGGGTGGAAAAGTTTTTTTTCGTGAGCGGAATTGAGAAACTCTGTAGCCGTATTATAAAGCGCATATTTGATGACAGTGTGGATCTTGCCGATTATTGTGTCTAGAACGCAATTATTATATCTCAACGCAAACGAAAATACTTCTGTCATTAACTCTGACCTAGCTTCTGCCCTCCTAAAACCCTTTCAAAACCCCCCAGAGCACGATGGACGGAGGCTCCCCCCTGGCGTGCGAGGCAGGGGGCCGCTGGTTCCTGGCGGGGCTGGTGTCGTGGACGCGGGACTGCACCGTGCCGGGGACGCCCAATGTCTACACGCGGGTCTCCTCGTTCACCAACTGGCTCCAGGCGACTCACCTGCGCATGATGGGCTTCGCAACGCACCAGGTATACTCGCAAAAGAGACAGTGGATCCAGGATCGTGTCGACAAAATAAATAAGGAGTTTGCATAGGATAAGATTCCATATCTGCTGTCGAGGCGTTAATAACGATAGAAAATAGTCATATACTGAGTGTCTAAAATCAAATGTGTTTTGTTTTCAATGATTACAAATCCCAGCAGCAGAAGTACATCCTACAGTTGATCCTTCTCGCTGTTATGGCATTCAGCTGTTTCACATCCCATTTTGTACAGTATTCATGCGTCAGTGCGTCATGTCTCGTTTCAGTCATGATAAAGTCTCCCCCTCCCAAAGATCACTCCAACCTCAAAACAAAACAAAAAAATAAAACGTAGTATTAATTAAGCGACGTACCACACCGTACGTCGATATGGCCATAATCCCTGCAGCGCCATTGTAGCCAAGCGGCAGTAGAGACGCCTGCTGTGTCTGTGCAAAAATAATAACACCTTAACCTTTTCAGATTAAGCTGACGTGAAACCTTCTTCGTACGTCATATGTAGAGGGGTTGCCATGCTAAGTGTGTC